AATACCAGGGGGGGGCCCTAGTAATAGCTATTACCTTATTTGAGGTAATAGGCTATTACCAGGAATAATATTCCTGGTAATAGAAATGGTTACCAAATAAAGGAATAGGCCTATTACTGGGAATGCTATGCCATTCCCGGCCTATTCTGTGAACCAAACGGGCCATTAGAGTACCTGATTTTAAATAATTTTGTACTCCGTATTACATTTTTTGAGTTTGCGATCGATTTAGACAATTTAGAGTTATTTTACTAAAAACGGTGTTGGTTTGAGCGAAATAAGTCATTAAAAAAATAATAATAACTAACCACAACTTAAACTTCGGCTTAGGCCACCTAGACAATAGCCTAGGCCGCCTAGTCCGCGGCGACCTAGTCGACGCCTAGGTCGCCTAGGCGACCAATCGCCTAGAACGGCGATTCCGTTAAATTTCTAGACAGACGGTCGCCACCTAGACACAATTTTTACAACCTTGTTATTATGTGGTTTGCACATAAGTAGTGGCATGACTAGCTATGTAATGATAAGAAATGAGTTTAAAATAAATGAATGTGACAAGTACGTCCATGCTAAAGGCACGGTATATGGTTGTCTTTCTATATTTAATTTATACATTGACGATATACTTATGGTTAGTAGTAATGATCAAATAATCAAGTTTTTTTTTTTTTTTTTTTTTTTTTTTAAGAAGTGCTAAATTCTATATTTGAAAAGAAAGAAGTTTGTTTGGTAGAATTAACCCTAGGGATTAAAATTATAAGAAAATCAAGTTTTGGGTTTTTTTTTTTTTTTTTTTTTTTTGGAGTACTATTGTTTCTACTTTCTTAACCTATTGAAACACAAAACAAATCAATACCACCTCCAATGAGACTCAATCTCATAACCTCCCATATAGAAGAGTTATTACGTACCATCTAAGCACAAGATGCTTGACAGTCTTGTGTTAGGTTAATCTCATTATATTGATAAAATTAGAGTCTTATGCAAAATCAATGGGCTAGGACGCCATTATATACAATTGTACATTTATCTAAAATTGTGAAAATAATATTTCTCAGATCAAGTAGAATATTGATACATTCAGGTTGTTGTTGTTGTTGTTGTTGTTATTATAGTGGAATCATGGGTAGTTATAATACAATAGTGGATTAGTGGGTGATTTTATGGTCCTGTATATATACCTATTATTATTATTATATTTTTTTTTGGTGAGATTAGCCTATAAAATACGGGGGAAAAAACTACCATACTCTAACCGTACTTGCCCCAAAGGCGTTTGCCTCTAGAAGTTGAATAATGGTGTCTGGAGGCGAATCTAGAATCGACGTCCTCCAACCGTTGTTTCCCCAATATATCAATCGTTATGCCTTGGACCCGTGTCCAGCATGCTTGCTGGACACGGGTAACAGTGCCGTTAGGCACTGTTATCTCCTTTTTTTTTTTTTCTTTTTTTTTTTTTTTAATTTCAGATCACTTTGTTATAGAAGTATATGTTCATAATTTTATTACTATATGTTAATAACTATACATTCATAACTCCATAACTGTACGTTCATAACTCTATAACTGTACATTCATAACTCTATAACTGTACATTCATAACGTCATAACTGTACATTCATAACTCAATAATTGTACATTCATAATTTTCGAAGCTCTATGTTCACAATTTTAGAGCTCTATGTTCATAATTTTATCACTATATGTTCATAATTGTAAGTTCATAATGTTAGAGCTCTTTGTTCATAATTCGATCAATAACTGTACATTCATAATTCCATAACTGTAGATTCATAATCTCATAACTGTATATTCATAACTCCATAACTGTAGATTCATAACTCTATAACTGTACATTCATAATCTTCGAAGCTCTATATTCACAATTTTAAAGCTCCATGGTCATAATTTTATCACTATATATGTTCATAATTGTAAGTTCATAATGTTAGAGCTCTGTGTTCATAATTTCATAATTGCATAACTGTACATTCATAACGGCATAACTGTACATTCATAACGGCATAACTGTACATTCATAATCAAAAAAAAAAAAATAACGCCATTAACGGCAAAACACGCGCGATTTTTTTTTTTTTAACTAAATGACGCGTTTTTTTTTAAAAAACGACGTCGTTTTGGGCCCGTGTCCACAATTCAATGTGGACACGGGTCCAGAGCATAATTTGCCCCAATATATACCTACCTATGTATATTGATAAAATTAGAGTCTTGTGCAAAATCAATGGGCTAGGATGCCATTATATACAATTGTACATTTATCTAAAATTGCGAAAAGAATATTTCTCAGATCAAGTAGAATATTGATACACTCAGGCTGTTGCTGCAGTAGTTATTATTATTATTATTATTATTATTATTATTATTATTATTATTATTAGTTTATAGTAGAATCATGAGTAGTTATAATACAGTAGTGAGTAGTTTTATGATCTTGTATATATACCTATCTTTCTTTTTTTTCTTTTTGGGTGAGATTGGCCCGTAAAACACGGGGAGAAAAACTACCATACTCTAACCATACTTGCCCCAAAGGCGTATGCCTTTAGAAGTGGAATAATGGTGTCTGGAGGTGAATCTAGAATCGATGTCCCCCAACTTGTTGTTTGCCCAATATATACCTACCTATGTATATGAAGAAAGACAGTAAAGGATATTATAAAATTTAGAGTTAATATTTTAAAATCATGTAATTATATATGATACCGTTATCTTATTTATTTATTTTAATTTTTAAATTTATTAAAATATATGAAAATATGTTAAGGATATTATAGTGTGTATAAAAGATAACCCTAAACCAAACATGATTATATTACATACCCTAATTTTAACCAAACACTGGAATCTAACATTCCCAATAATCTAACATTCCCAGCAATCTAACATTCCCTAAGGTAATCTGACATTCCGTGAACCAAACGACCCCTTAGAAATATAGTCATTTAAAATTGGGCTGCTATTCGAAGCACGATTATAAAATTTAATTTTTGATTCAAAAAAGAGCAAACTATACAACCTCAAGGAGCTATGGTAAGTTACCCCCACTTTCGTCCTGAAGATGGAGGCAGCCATAACTGCCCCTCCTTCGTCGAATCCGTTAACGGCCTAGTTTCATATTCCGACAATTGATGGAATGTGTATTATTTCAGCACATGATACTAGTTCGATTTTCTTTCCTTTTTTTAGAAACAAAAAAAAAGATAATAACAAATGCACATATTGGAAAGAGGATCGACAATTTGTCAATTTATTATAGGAAATTCACACTGCCAAACCGAGAAACAAAGTTATCGGTTTTCCCAACATGATTAATCTTATTGAACGTTGGGTCGTGTGGGGTACCCTGACTTGAGGAGGATCTAGATTCTAGAGCACTATTTGTTGCCACCTCCATACGGGTAGTCCAGTGAGGATCATCCACTTGCTGCAACTACCATGTACCAGCTTCACTATAGGACATTAGGACTACCCTTAAGTTTCTACAGTTATGACCTCTTTTTAAGTCACGAGAGAATTCAGAATTAGAATTAATTTCACTTTTGGTCCCATGACTTTTGAGTTCTTATCATTTTTGGTGCACAACTTTAAATTTTTTTAATTTTGGTGCTTAACTTTGTTATTTTTATCAGTTTTGATCCTTTCAGCCAAATTGACGGTAAAATATTTCCGTATTTTATATTTTAGGGGCAAAATTGTCATCCCATGGAAAGATCTTCAATATTTAAATAAAAGAAAAATCATATTAAGAGGAAAAAAAGAGTTTGCCAATGGTTGAAACTATAAATCGCATAGATCTGTCTGATTTCTGCCCGTCTTTCCCATTATTCTCATCATCAAACACCTATAGATATAATTTTACAGTGATTTTGTTTAGATATTAAAGATGTTTCCTTGGGGTGACGATTTTACCCCTAACAATATAAAATACAGCAACATTTCGCTGTCAATTTGGTCGAAAGGACCAAAACTGATAAAAATAACAAAGTTAGGCACCAAAATTAAAAATTTTTAAAGTTGTGCACTAAAAGTGATAGAACATCAAAAGTCGTGTGACCAAAAGTGAAATTAATTCTTCAGAATTATTATTTGAAGGTGTATATAAAATAAATTTTATTTTATGATTTTAATCAACGAAAAAAGATAAATTAACTTAAATTATTTATAATTAATTAATTTAAATTAAAATAATTAATAAATAATTTTAGATTAGAACTCAAAATTTAATTGTGTGATTATCAAGTCAACAACCTAATAAATTTAACGGGAGTATTTCACAGTTATCACTTCTTAGTTCTTATCATCATGATGTGAGAACCCTAGCTGGTATCTGTCTGCTAGCTAGCATCTGCATCTGCAGCCGATTTGTGTGGAGCTTCATCACTCACAGCTGTTCCCTGATTCTGATCTGAGAATCCTCAGAATTTGTTAGTATTAGGCTTTGGACGCTCACCATTACCAAAAAGATACTGCAAACTCCTTTTCTTTATATCTCATTCCATTCCATTCTAATTTTAGATCCTTCAATTCCCCGGGTCTTGAGCATATTAAAATTAAAATTAATTGGACAATTCCAGTTGAGTTAATTTTGACATTAAAACTACAAAATTACAAATTCAATTTCCAGGAATTCCTTATTAGCCTTAATGGTTTGAGCTTGCTAATTATAGGTCATTCTTAATTAACCAGCTTGGTTAGAATGAGTGGCCGTACACTCTTGTCTTTTAAAAGAGGTTGAGAATTCAAACTCCGAAAAAATCAATCTGGCTAGCACTTTATTCTATAATTGGGCTAACTCAGTGTAAACTAGGATTAATCTAAATACGGAATTAAAAGTACCTCTTATAGTTAGGGACGGTTTAGAACACTTCGTGATTTGACAAAAAAAAAATTATAAGCAATTCTTTATCACAATCAGAAAAAGATATACACACACCTTTAAATAGTGACAGTGAATTTTTGTGTTCTTCACTCAACAAAAATAATAATAATTGAACTAGAACCATTCAGCTGTCATATCTAGTTATTTATATTCAAGGTATCCTCCAGCTTGCATGATCAAACTGGTTAATAGAACCAACCTAATTGACGTCTTAATCATAATGTAATTGGGATTTACTATCTAATTAAGCTTAATATACCCGGATGGCCGGAAACAATGTATAACATATTTTCCGACACCTATGTTACTGGTCAGCATGCGCCGGTGGCTTCGTCGACGGATTTGCCGCCGCCGCAGTCTCCACCGCCGCACCACCGCCTTGCTCTCTGAACTTCTTATATATGTCCCCTTTGTAGAACTTTCTTGTTCTAAGCACCAAAATGGCAGAAACAATGACGCTAACAAACGTAGCCCCCGTGATTATCAGAAACGCCAGTTTGTAACACTCCACGCCTATACACGTCAGATCTTCCCCGTCTTTCCTCTCCAGACCCTTAGCTCTAAGCTGCCTCGTCGCCTCCCTGTCGTACAAATGTCCGGCGACTCTCACGTTAAGCAAGTACGCGCCGACGGGGCTGGCCCCGCCGCCGAAGTTGTAGAGCGTGGAGTAGTACTTGAGCCCGAAGATTTCAGATATGATGGCGAAGATTAGCGGCCATTGCGCCCCGAAGCAGAACCCCATTAGCACGGAGGCAACGTAGAGGGAATTAGGGACGCCGAAGGCGATGAGGAGGTGGCCGGCGCAGGAGAGGAGGAGGACGATTGTGAGCATGAGGGGACGCGGGAATTTGTATTTGGCTAAGAAGATTTCCGAGAAAAACCCCGACGCGACTCGGCCCAGATAGTTCCATATACTTACCAGTGACACAAACGTGGTAATACTCTCCGATGGGTACCCCAAGGCTCTGCCGATTTGCCCCAAGTTATCAATGGCCGTCAACGTCCCCCCAACCCCAAACGTCGTCGCGGTAAAAAGAGCGATCATGTCGATACTGAATAGCGCTTGCAATATCGTGTAGTCCTCCCCTCTCGGCGGCGGGTTGAACACATTGCTAAAACATGGAGTTTCCGCCGCCGCCGCCGCAGGCGGCGGCGGCGGCGGCTCTGCGGACGGTGGTGGGTTTTCAATTTTGACTTGAGGGACCTCTTTCACTTTTAGCTCTCTTTGTTTGGCTGCCCAGATATTGAGCTCTTCTTTGATGACAATAAAGAGTGGCGCAAAGAGTAAAGCCACCACAACCGTGGCGCTCCCGGCGTATAACGGCCTAGTGAAGGTGATTCGATTTTGTACGATGATTATGATCATGAGAAAGCCTGCTAAGCCCAGGGACACGAAGAGGAGCTTGTAGAAGATCTTGACCTCGTTTGTTTGCCGGACGACCTTCATGATCCGGACGGTTCTGAGAAAAACGCAGGAAACGACGGCGGGTAACCATCCGATGAGCAAGATGAGAGCTTTCCCATCTTTACCGTAGAAAGCATGGAAAAGTTGGGTGACGATTGCGCCGCTAAGACCCACAAATCCCTTCAACAGCCCCAGAACAATCCCCCTGCTTTCTGGGAAATTCTTAACGCAAGTAACCAAAGCTCCGGTGTTCGCAAATGTCTGGGAATTTGCTCCGATACATATGTATAAACACATCTGCCATAGCTTAGGCTTGGCTATGTGCCCAGTCACGGCCAGCCATATCATGAAGTAGCCGAAGAAGTTCATGATTGCTCCCATGAACAGAACCACCCACGGCGGGGTAACCTCGTTGATCAAACCCGACACAATCCCAACGTTAGCTCCCAGATCTTTGAAGAAGCTGAGCAAGTTTAACGTTGTTTGGCTATACCCTAGAGAGTGTTTGACGTCTCCCGAGTAGAGGCCGAATATGTAGGTCGATCCCGCCATGGCCATGATGAGAAGGGAGGCAAACACCATGAACCACCGGCCGGCGATGACATGTAGGCCGAAGCTCCCCATGCCTCTCCATCCATTCATCTCAGCAACCACCATGATTTTCAATTTTCAAGAAACTTTGAATTGAAGTTGGATAAGTTCTGAGACCACTGGGAAGTGTTTGTATGGATGAATATTGTACAAGTGGTATGTATATATAGGACTGTGGGGTTTATTTTTGCAGGGTGGAATGAAGTGGACTTGACAATTGAGTGATTATATTGACCACACTTTTTAGGAGGGTGGACTTGAGTCCTCAATTATATGCCATTACTTGGAAGGTATAATGAGCTAAATCTTCATATCATATATAAATGCAGATTAAAATGTAAGCTGAACCTAAACAAGTTAGGGTGAGTAATCAATGCATAAGGTAGGGGAAAGTGGGTACTAAGTATCATCACAGGATGTAAAAAGAAATCTGGTTTCCACCGGCCAATCTTGGACGTTGTCGTGCGATATTCTTTCTCAGAATGTTAGGTACAGCAGAACCAAACAAATTAAGTTAAAAGATTGTTGCCCGCAGGGCTAGTTCAAGTGGCATACCACCTGATTTAAAGTCATTATTTCGGCATGACATCTATCTTACGGTTCCTTAGGCTAGAGTTTGGGCATTTGAGCGTTTGGGCTCCAATCTGAACTCTCCAAGTTGGCGGAAATGTGGAGATGGACCTTTAAGCGATTTACCTCTGACTTTTGGGCAGAGGTTAAGTTTGGGCCCTTGGGCTCCCAAGTTGACAGAAGCGTGGAAATGGATCCCTTAGCTACTTGAGCAACTCGTGATTTACCTTCTCCAGCTACTCTTGGACAAGAGTATTGTTGTATTGTGGCAATGCCGTGGAGAACACAATGGCCTAAAGTCATCATTTCGGCAGTACATCTATCTTAGGGCTCCTTAGAGCAACATTATCAGTTGAGAAGAATGTGAGGAGAATGTAAGAGTGATTAGGAAAGAGAATGTGGAAGGGGAGGGGAAAAAAAGAGAGGAAAATTGAATTTAAAATTAAAAAAAAATAATATTTTATGATTGTCCGGCGCGCCCGCTAGGCGCTGTCACCATTGGTGTAAATATTGGTGGGTCCCACCAATTCTGAATTATTCCAACCCCTAGCAGGAGAGTTTTTTTTTCTTTTTTTTAATTATTTTCTTCTCACACTAGCTTTGCTCCTTGTTTTGGAAGAATTCATTCTAAAAAAAAATTGGAATAATCCATTATAATGGATGCTCGTTAGAGTTTGGGTCAATTGATGGAGATGTGGTCCTGTGGAGATGGATCCCTAGGCGATTTATCTCTGACTCTGGGGCAAAGGTAAAGTTTGGGGCCTTGGGCTCTAATCTAGCCATCTGGGCTTCCAAGTTGGTAGAAGTGTGAAAATAGATCACTTAGCTACTTAAGCAACCCGCGATTTACTACCTTGTTGTGTTGTGGGGCAAATTATACCGTGCACCAAGGCGCACAATGCATTGTGCGCCCTGGCCCAAAACGACGTCGTTTTGTACCTTTTTTGTGTGTCTGCTGTTAGGGTGTGTTTGGAAACCTGGAAAATGAGTTCTGGAAATCATTTTCCAAGTTTCCACTGTTTGGATGTGCCTGGAAAATCAAGTCAACGGAAATCATTTTTCGTTGACTTTGGAAAATATGCTTGTTTTGGAGGAAAATGACTTCCCCTTTTTTTTGAGGGGAAGTCATTTTCCAACTTTTACACCAACATCACACCACCACCAACATCATCAACACCATACCACCACCACCTCACTACCACCATCACCACCACTACTGCCGCCGCCACCACCACTATACCGCCGCCACAACACCACCACCACTACCACCACCAACACCATACCACCGCAACGACTACCACCATAAACACCATACCACCGCAACCACCACCACCACGACCATACCACCGCAACCACCACCGCCGCCACCACCACCATACCACCGCAACCACTGTCGCCGCAGCCACCACCATACCACCGCAACCACTGTCGCTGCCGCCACCACCATACCACCGCAACCACTGTCGCCGCCGCCACCACCACCACCACCACCATACCACCACAACCACTGTCGCCGCCGCCACCACCACCACCATACCACCGCCACCACACCATCACCACCACTGCCACCACCGTCATACCACCACCAGTTATTATTATTATTATTATTATTATTATTATTATTATTATTATTATTATATAACAAATAACACCACTACCACTACACCACCACCACCACCATAATATTTTTGATATATTATTAGTTATTTTTTATTATATTTAAAATTATTATTATATTATTATACATGTTGTAATATTCTAAATAAAATAATTAAAATGTTTAATTATATAATTTTACTCATTTTCCAGAAAATGAACCAAACACAGAAAAACAGTTTTCCAGAATGCAACCAAACACGGGAAAGGAAAATGTTTTCTGGAAAATGACTCATTTTCCATAAAACATTTTTCAGAAGTCATTTTCCTGCTTTCCAAACGGACCCTAACTCCTTAAAAAAAATCATGTTTTGAATTTACAGAATTGTATAATAGAAAACACATAATTTTATACTTGAAACACACAAAATTTTATACCTGAAAACACGGAATTTTTATAACTGAAAATCCCCATGTTTCGAATGTACAAAATTATATAATAGAAAACACATAATTTTATACCTGAAAACACAGAATTTTATAACTGAAAATTCCCATGTTTCGAATGTATAGAATTATATAATAAAAAACCCAGAATTTTATACCTGAAAACACATAATTTTATACCTAAAAATACATAATCTTTTTTAAAAGTCTAAAAATCCTTGTTTCGAATGTACAGAATTTTATATCTCAAAACACAGAATTTTATAACTGAAAACACAGAATTTTATAACTGAATATACATACATTTTTGTCGTGTTAATTCTCCACACAACTTAACAAAATGACGTCGTTTTGAGAAATGCGGGGGCATACATTGCTATGTGCCCCTGGTGCACGGTATAACGATTGGTGCTGTGGCAATGCCGTGGAGAAATAGGATGTGGCCATGGCAATGGCCTTTTTCCCATAGTTTGTAATGAATAGTCTTTATCAGACTAGATTCAGCAGTTAGTGCTAAAAACCTGCAGTGGCCGGGCTGGGCAATCTTTGATTATGAATCTATGATCTTGTTTTATTAAGCCAGAAACTAACAGATAGTATACAGTGGATCCAAAGTGGTAATAAATATACTAAAATGAGCAGAAACATCATTGCTTCAAGTCCTACATATTACATAGTATAATTGAATCTAAAGCTCATAAAACATATGTATGACCCTTTTTCAATCTTCTCTTCTACCACCGTTCTTGCAAAACCTATGTGAATAATGAGCTGAAGAAGGAGGCATTGGAGCATTCATGCCCGTGATCGTGGTGGACTCGGGTTCTACTACCGGAGGATCTGCTTGCTCTCTGAATCTCTTGTATATATCACTTCTGTAGAATTTTCTTGTTCTAGCTACCAGAATTAACGAAACGATGCATCCCACGAACGAGGATGCAGCGATTATTAGAAAAGCGAGCTTGAAACACTCCACCCCGGTGCACGATAAGTCCTCCCCGGGCTGTCTGATTATTCCCTGATCTTCCATCTGTTTCGTGCCCTCCTTATCATACAGAACACCAGCCACTCTCACATTGAATATGTAAGCTCCAACCGGGCTCGCTGCCCCACCGAAGTTGAGCAATGTCGAGTAGTGCTTGAGGCCGAATAGTTCTGATATGATTGAAAATATCAACGGCCACAGCGCCCCAAAGCACAGCCCGATCAGCACCGAGGCTGCATAGAGAGAATTGGGAACCCCGAATGCGATTAGAAGGTGGCCACCGCAGGAGAGGAGGAGTACTAATGTGAGCATTAGGGGTCTTGGGAACTTGTACTTGGCCAAGAAAATCTCGGAGGCAAAACCCGAGGCCACTCTCCCAAGATAGCCCCATATGCTCACTAGTGACACAAATGTGGTGATGCTTTTGTCCGGATAGCCCAACGACTTCCCAATCTGGCCTAGGTTGTCTATAGCTGTTAAGGTCCCTCCCGCTCCCGTGATCGTGACAGTGAACAAAATCAACATATCAACACTCAAAACCGCCTGCAAAATCGTGTAATCCTCGCCCCTCTCGGGCGGGCTAAACACGCTCTGATACCACAACACCGTCATCGTTGCCTCTATCGCCTCGTTCTTTCGTGTATCCCTATCCCTATCCCTATCCCCTACTTCTCTAATGCTCAATGTGAGAGGATCACCCAACATTTCCTTCTTTCTCTTCCATACCATCATCTCCTCTCTTATAACCAGAATCATAGGAGAAAACAGGAAAACAACAATAATCGAAACGCAAATCACGTAGTCTAGCCGGTTAAATGTAACCCTATTTTGCACAATAATGATAGCCATAAGAACCCCTGCCAGACCAAACGACACAAACAAAAGATTATAGAACACCTTAAGCTCATTTGCCTGTCCAATATTAACCTTCATGACTCGAACAGTTCTTAGGAACACACCGGAAACCACGGCCGGAAGCCACGCAATAAGCAAGATCAAAGATTTCCCGTCATCTCCATACAAAGCATGGTATATCTGTGAGATAATCGCCCCACTAAGCCCAACATAACCCTTCAAGAGACCGATTACAATCCCCCTAGATTCTGGGAAATTCTTGACACATGTGACTAAGGCTCCAGTGTTAGCAAAAGTCTGAGAATTTGCGCCGACACAAATGCACAAACACATCCACCAAACCTGGGGATTCGCTATGTGGCCGGAAACGGCCAGCCATATAAAAAAGTAGCCGGAAAAATTCATGGCCGCACCTAGGAGCAAGACGACCCATGGTGGGGTTACCTCGTTAATTAGCCCGGAAATTATTCCGATATTCGCTCCCAATTCCTTGAAGAAACTAATCAAGTTTAAGGTTGTCTGGTCGTAGCCTAAGGTTTTCTTAATGTCCTCGGAGTAAAGCCCAAATATGTAGGTTCCACCGGAGACCGACAGGATGAGTAGGCAACTAAACACCATGAACCACCGGCCGGCGATTATGCGACGGCCGAATCTGCCCATGGCCCTCCAACCACCTTCGTCTATACACATGGTCGGTATGTTCCAAATCTGTACAATCCAAAAAACATAAATTATACTAAAACAAGAAACGGGTTTCGAGATTCAGTAATTATAGTAAAAAACAGAAATGGGTT